CATGCTCTCTTTATGGCCAGTTAAAGGGTAAATGGGAGTAAAAGGATAAGAGAATATATCACATCATTGATTGTAAAAATACTTTAGATAATGAAATGGCTGTGGGAAAAGATATTCTACCAATAACATCTGAGGTCAAGGGAAGTTAACTAGCTCCCTTTTTCCACAAATTCAGTGTTTTGTGTCAATGTTGGTATTCCTGGAAAATAAGACTATATGTAATTATTTCCCTTTATAACATTTTATTAAAGTTGTTTATTTTTATGTGTTCCAGATGGGATGGTCTTATATGACCTATAACATTTGATTATTTAGAATATTCCTTCTTAAAACTCGTTGGTTTATATGCTAAATACCTTTTGCTGATTTCCTCCTGTTTTCATTAATTGCTTTCTTATGCTTTTAGTTTGGTAGTTCTCAGTGTTATGTCCCCAGCCACTTTTTCACCAATTCCCACCCCTTTACCTATTGATGAATTTATAACTTCTGAACTCAAATAGAACTATTAAATATGGATACTTCAAAATAAATTCAAAACAATTTTTCTCTCTAAACTTTTCTCCTTGTATTTCCTTTTTTGGTTAATGGTTTTAACCTTCTAGCTTATTCATGTAATCAAACATCTTTTCAAACAAATCTTTTATGCTTAAAAGACTTAATTCACCAGAGATTTGAAGGTAAAGTCCAAACACTATAACATGCAAGGTTTTTCTTCTAACTCCTACTTATGAACCTCATGGACACCACTGAAATTAAAATGACCTAAGTTTGAATATTTGCTCTTTCATTTCAAGTGAGACCTTCAGAAGCTTGCTTTCTGGGCCTTAGTTTCATAACTCGTAGAATAGATAAAATATTGACTGTTTCATCATTGTGATTAGGGATTAAATGAGAAATAAAAGCTAAAAAAAGTTGGTATGGCTTTAGAGCTAATCAAACCCATTGGTTCCCAGACTTTGGGAGGTCTTGTATGAATTAAATTATAAGAAATAGGGAAACCAATATAGTTGCTAGTTTTAGTTCTCTAAATAGCAACATTATACTAACACTTGGTTTTTAAAATGGTTAACAGCAAATAAGGACATAGTCAAGTCTATAAATACAGTACTTAAATTGTTTTCAAATAATTATTTCAAAATATATTACAAAGATGTAAAAATATGAAAGTATTTTTGAAAATATTACAATTTTGTGGGACTTTTGTACAGTGTATTTCTATAGAAATTGATCAAAGAAATAAAATAGAATGCTTTCCCTGGTTCTCTCTGGGTTTGCATATAGGCTTACAGAAAGATTTTTATATGTATTTCCAGAGATCAGTCCTCACCCAAGATGTTCTAGTTTGCAGTGATATGGGGAAAATGGTTGTAAATTAACTAAAAATGGAATACAAACTATCTTTTAACACCAAGGTCAATTATATTCCTAAGTAATGTTTATTCTAACTTTGTTTCGTGGTCTACTTCCCTTCCTGTTCATTACTACTGCCTTTACTTTAGTTCAGGCAATTGCCTGAAAAATTAGATAGATAGATAGATAGATAGATAGATAGATAGATAGATAGATATCCTGGCTTACTCTAGCTTTAATCTTACTCCTAGTCCATCGGTCTTCCTTAAATGTGATGTATGTTTATTAACAATGTGAATCTTACCTTGAAATGCTTTAATGGAGTGCATGCTCCTTAAGATGGCATACAAGGCCTTCTGTAATCTGGTTCCTGTCTTTTTCCAATGAAAGATTCAGATAGTCCTCCTTGCTTCCAACATACTATTATTGCTTTCAGTTCCTTCAACTCACAATGTGATCTCTGACCTTTCTTTTGTAAAATTCTCTCTACATGGAATACCTCCCCTTCTCCCCCTTGAGAAGGCATATCCTTCAGTTCAAGTGTTTTCCTCTATGAAGTTTTCCCTGATGCTCTTCTAAGAAGTCCATTGTTCTTTATAGTTCCATAAACCTTTTCCTGAGCTCTATATAGCACTTTACTGCAGTTTATTTATAACTATATAGAATCTCACCCTGCTAGAATATGAGCTCCTGAAGGCCAGTGTTTAACTTGCATTGTCTCCCTCAGATGAATGCATAGGTCTTGTATTAACACCTAGAACAGCCTGGCCAACGTGTCTCAGTTGGTTGCACATTGTCTCATCCATGCACCTAAAGGATGCTAGTTCAATTCCTGGACAGAGTATGTGCCCGGGTTTTGGGCTTGATCTCTGGTAGGGTGTGTGCAGGAGGCAGTTGATCACATTGATGTTTCTCTCCCTCTTAAAGTCAATTTTAATTTTTTTTTTTAAAACACACAACATAATGCTCAAGTAAATGTTTAAGTAGGTCTCTTCAGTCTTTGGTGTAAGTATAAGTATGCAAAATAGCTACTAAATTGTGAACAGGGTTAGAGATATATTTTTGTAGTTAAAAGTTAGGAAACCTAAAGTTACTAATGATGTGTGCAGAAGAGCAAAACCATCCTTATTCTAGAAAAAAATAATACGAAGAAAATAACTGGACATCTGTTCTCAGGTTTCATCCCTCACAATTGTCTTGAAAGACTTAAAATGCCCAGTGAAACATATCCTGGTACTTTGTCCATTGCAAATGAAAGCTTCCCTTCAAAAGGTGTTAAATTGTTTTTGAACAAAGTGAAAAGTCCTATCCATCTTCTGATGTTTGTTTATAGATTCTTATTTTTCAGGTTTAAACTGCCTTTTCAATGTATAATAGTAACTTTTATTACTATTATGTATTTTATTTCAATGTATAATAGTAAAAGCATAACTATAAACATAATGACCAGAGAGGACTTTCCCATAACTAATTTTTCTAAACAGTTGAACAACCCTATTAATAGGATAGAAGTTCAGGCTAGGTGCTTGTATCTGTACAGAAAATTATTTAGCTTCAATTTTGAATGGTTTATTATCAACAAATTATTTTAATATCCATTTTTATAAAGTTGAATCCATTAATGTGCTAACTAATTCATATGGATAAGACAAGCAATTACATATTCTTTGGGAAGGTTTGTCACACTAAATTAAAAATCACTAAGATTTGCAACATTAAATGAGTTAATATATTTTATTATACAGATACTAACAAATGTCTTTTTCTAAGTATTAGTTGAAGGTACTTACATAAAGAATAGAAATATAATGTTTGTTTATCAAGCCAGAACTTGGTCATTCATTTCTAACAACTTAAATTTTAATTGAAGGCAAATTTCTTAGGCCTAGAGTCATAGCTACCACGTTGGGGTTTGTTTTTGTTTTTGTTTTTGTTTTTATCCACATTAAAAAATTAGTTTCTCTGTTATAGGCATGTGGTTCAAAGTCAGTGGTTCCCAAGCCAGTTTGATCACCATAATTATCTGGGAAGCTCATTAAACTAAACATTCCTAGCCTCCACACCCAGAGTTCCCCAAAACAAGATGTAGCTATCATCATTATTTTGTAGCAATTCCTGAAGACCCATATGCTGAACTACTTAGTGTGGCCCAGGAATCTGCATTTTGACAAGCCTCTCATACTCTCATGACTACTACTTCAAAAACATGGTATCAGGCATTTCCCAAAAATGTAATAGAGCCACAGTGCAAAGACAGTACTTTTTCATTTTTTGGGCAATATTACTGTAATAATCACCTCTCCAACCTTAGAGGCTTGGAGGTACTATTGCCATGAAGCATTTCTTCTTGAAGATTTCATCAGAACAGTAAAATGGTTTTCTAGAAATTTGGGATATTCTGGAGTTGTCTAAATTTGTTGTGAAAAAGAAGCCTTATTTCTAAACTCATCCCCAACTCAATATATCTGAACATCTTAAAAGGGGAGGAACTATCAACTGTTAAACAATTTCAGAGAGGAAGGAAAAGGGAGAGAGGGATAGAAATATCAATGAAGAGAAAATCATTGATCAGCTGCCTCTTGCACAGTCCCCACCTCTCACCCTTGGGGATTGAGCCCACAACCCGGGTGTGTGCCCTGACCGGGAATTGAACCATGGCCAGGCCATCCTACTGATTTTACAACTGATTATTCTAAGATGTTTAAACAATGTGATCTTCTATAAGGTTACTCTTAAAGGTGAAATCAGAAACTTGAAACTCTAGAAGTGCAACTCAGGAGTAGAAAGAAGCATCACTTCATTAAGAATTAGTAATTTAAGAGTAGATCTTAAGAAATTTAGATGTCATGAGCTAGGACTTGAAAGATACACTTCAATATAAAATATTCTAAACCTAATGCCAGAAAATATAGTATTCTATGAATTTCACATAAATATTTAATTTTAAAAATTTCTAAAAACAAAAATACATCATTCAGCAAAACATTTTTTAAAAGTCAGGTGTCTTGATCCTTATGTTTGAAATCCCCACCTTTGATTGGTAAGTATGCATTCTTTAGATTTTTTTAAATTATTTATGAAAGCTAAATATAAAGAACAAATTAGTTCAGCAAGTCAATAATAACCAAAGTATGTGGATATACATGGGAAATTCAGTACAAAGACTCACTTTCATCAAGCTGGTAATAAACTGATTTTGTGGGTGAGCATGATTGTTTCTGAGAATACTGACACATCTTTTAGTCTTGAATAACTCCCACAATGGTCACTATATTATCTAGAAGATAGTAACTAGGACTAGAAAATATACAATTTAATTTCCCCTAGATCAAGGTTACGTCCCTCCGGGTCTTTCCCTGTTGATACTGCTTAACTAGTGGCCTTGGCTGTGTTTTACTCGTTACTAGGTATAGACAGTGGGAATCTCCTTCACTCATAGGAAACCAAAGTAGTGCATTAGTGTAGCCATTAGCTATAGTGTTTTATAACCTAAAAGGCACAAATTCAACACAATTGCATTTAAGATCATACAGGAGTTGGCAAAAGTAGGTTTATAGTTGTGAGCACATAAAACAGTTTATTCTTGTATTTACTTGTTTTATTATTGTTATTTTGTATCCTTACTTAAGATTTCTCTTTTTAGGTAAGTAATGATGGCTGGTAATTTAACCAATGACCAACGAAAATGGATACTTAAACAATACTGGAAGACGGAGAATGCCGAAAAGGTTCGACAGAAATGGGCTGAAGAATTTGATACACCTTCTCCAAGTAGACAAACAATTTATAGAATACGTGATAAATTTGATGAAACTGGGTCCATCTGTAATGCTCCAAAAAGTGGTCGACCAGTCAGTATTACCACCCAGGAAAATGAAATATTAGTAAGTCAGGCATTTACAGAGAGCCCAAAAAAATCAAAACAACGAGCTTCTGTTGAATTGGGCATTTCTTGTAGATCTTTGAGTCGTCTTATGCAACGTTTAGGTTTGAAAACGTATCGGCCAAGATTGCTTCATGGGTTACTAGAGGATGATCCAGATCGTCGTTTACAATTCTGTGAAGTGGTTCTGAATGAAGAAAGACAAGGCAATAGCATCATTGATAAAATTACGTGGTCCGATGAAGCTCATTTCAAACTTTCAGGTGCTGTAAATCGGCACAACTGTGTCTACTATTCAAGAGAGAATCCCCATGTAATGATAGAAGGACAGTTGAATCAGCCAGGGATTACAGTTTGGGCAGGTCTTTCCTGTAAAGGGGTACTTGGACCTATTTTTTTCCATACAACTGTTACACACGACCTGTATCTCAACATGCTAAGGGGCACCGTTTTGCCACAATTACAGAGACAGCATGATAATGATGATTTCTTCTTTCAGCAAGACGAAGCTCTTCCACACTGTGCTGTAACAGTACGTGAATTTCTTGATGAACAATTACCCAACAGGTGGATAGGTCGACGAGGGCCAGTGGAATGGCCACCACGATCACCAGACCTCAGTCCAATGGACTTCTTCTTTTGGGGTGTTGTCAAAGATAAAGTCTTTTCACGAAAACCACGTACTGTGGATGATATGATTCGTTGCATAAGAGAAGCATGTCAAGAAATTGATGACAATAAAGAACTCTGTGTCAAAGTGTGCTCAAATATAGCAAGTCGGCTACAAGAATGTGTAAATAATGAAGGCCGGCAATTTGAGAACTTACGAGATTATACCTAAGTGTACTGTGACATTCTTTTGAGTTAATAAAGCTATTGTAATAACCCTCCATGTCCTACATATGAACAACTATAAACCTACTTTTGCCTACCCTGTATGGATAAGAATTGTGAGATGGGAAGAAATTTTATTCTTGGAGGTAGGAACAAATGAGGTGTGGCATTTAGTCCCACATTCCATTGTGTTAATCATTCTTACTACTCAAAGAGGCACTGGGGAGTAATTTACAAGTGACTGCAGTTATAAATAAGATGGTATATAAGCATCCAACAGCAGAGATAAGGATGGAATTACAGCCTTCATTTTTTGTTATTTATCAATCATTTTGTTTCTGTTACCCCTGGAGACTCAATAATCACTATTCCTAGGATCAGAATTTACCCAAAGGTAAATCTTGAAACTAGATGTTATCTGTAGGCTATCACAGAGGTCAGTCTTGCTCCATTCAGCATAAGTTTAACAAACAGTGGGGACTGATAGAATTTAGGATCAGCCAAAAAGCCAAGGTTTTTCCCTCTAAATGCACACATTAGTTTGCCCAATAAGTAACTGGCCTCTGTTTAAATAGCCAACATTATTGAGGTAGTTGGTTTGCATTTTTAGACAGCCTTTTTTTTTCTCTTCAGTATCTAGAACAGAATACAATATCCTAAACTTATTCTGTCCCACAAAACATGAAGGATTGGGTGGGTAGGTGACAAATAGCATTTGGAATTGCTCATTCCATAAGCAAACTAAACAAAAAGCTGTTTAAGAAACAAATGGCAACTAGTAAGAGCGATCCATTAGTATATAGAAAAGCCAGTTTAACCAGGGGGTCAAAAATACAAATATTACAAACTGGCTAATGAACAGGCAGATAATAAAATACAATTAGTATAGGTCTTTATAACCTATATCTTCATGACATACATATAGGAAGAAAATGTAATTAAAGAAGATACATCATAAGAACTAAGTTTTATTTAGTATGTCTCTAGTATGTGTTTTAATATCACTCTTACCTACTGAGTACTAGGGAAGTTGGTTGTACAACATTCTCTGAAATATGTTGGCAATATTTTTCTTATAAATAGAAACAAACTAGTAGCTTCAATTGTGAGCTAACGCCTCTGTCATACTCAATATTCAAAAGGAATAAAATAATAGGATAAAGGACATTAATAAAATGTCATTTTATTAATAAAAAAAGATTATTTGCCTCCTCACTGGGAAACAACCCTCAAAGATGGCCCTAAGTCAAAAGTTTTAATACAATAGGATCACAAATTATGAATACTTTTTATTACTTGACTAATAAAGTTGATTAGACAAATAAGATTTTCAAGATGATGGACTCTTCAATAGGTGTTAGTTAGCATTTTACAAATGATCAAACCTTGTAAAAATGGGTCATTGACGCATGTACATCCCATGAGCAAAACTCACGAAAATTTAAAACAAGGCTGTATACTTATGTTCCCCCAAAAGAATTTATTTTGTGGGACAGTAAGTAAATGTATTTTACTGACAGTTTCACAGAAGAGAAGGCATAGGGAGTTTATTATACATTGCAAAAATACCTTTTGTTTACAAATCCCATGCATTTATCTTTAAAGATTTTTTTTTTTGTAAAACACATGAGATCAATCCTCTCAAGTTTTAAAGTTTACAGTATATACTGTTCCTCCTAAAGTTATGTTTCTCACTTTCAGCTGGTGAGTCTAAAACTTCCTCCTTTAAATTTTTTTCTTATACAGAATCATTTAGCAGTTGTGGGCAATGTACAAATACAGCATGCCTATAGATTTTGGGGAGTGAGAAACATCTATTTGTTGTGCCTCTTATGCATTCATTGGTTGCTTCCTGGTGCTCTGATCAGGGACCAAACCCGCAACTTTGGTGTATTAGGATGACTTACTGAGCTATCCAGCCAGGACCTAGACAAGTATATTTTCATACTTGTTAGGGAGTGGCAAATAATTGGATTCCACGTTCTACCATATGGCACTGGTTCTTGGTGCATAGTCCCACTAAGTCTTATATAAGAACTCTATATTTGTCACAGAGGCACATAGCCTCTGTCTAACATCTTTGGGAAACATCTCATTATTTAGCCAACAAATTTGACCAGGTATTTGCCAAAATGACTGCAGTACAGTTTTTTTGTTTTTGTTTTTAATAACTTGATTCAGGTCCTGAGTCTGCAAAGGTTCTATTTGCCAACTACCAACACTTTTACTTCAGCCTAGGCCTTTAGTCAACATTAACCAAGACAACAGAATTATAAGTTTTAATCATAAAAAGGCATTGTGAAACATTTTTCTCCATCCTACACATTTCATTTGGTTGTGATGCTTTTTTATAACACAACAGGACTTAAAGAATTTCAAAGTAAATGTATGATTTTGCACAAATTATTCAATTTGGTCTCTTGTTATATCTCCATAGTTACTTTCCATCTGATTCTACAAAATCTTTTAAGTTGCAAAGAATAACCTAGGACCAACCAAAGAAAGCTTTATGTATTTGTCTCTAAGCCAATGGTTCTTAAAATGTGGGTCTTGGGTCAAACTACCAAGTCAAAATCAACTAAATCCTATCTGTGTTTTTGAAAAAGATAATTATTATCAAATAATGTTTTTTTTTAATACTGAAACAGCAATGAAGAGACTGTCTCTGCTTTTAAAATATAAGAAATGATACCATAACATTAGATTCCTCATTTATGGGATATTTTATGAAAACCAGTTCAATATTTGAATAAGACTTTAGGAATGCAAATTTTTTAGGGTATAGTATGAACAACTGTAAGGAGAAGATAATTTGAACAATCACGGATTTTTTAAAAATTTTTTTTAAGGAGCTATGACTTACAGGTCAGTCCTACAGAGAAAGGAAGGGGAGAGAACTATTTTGAGCTGCACACAATAATTGCATCACACCTGAGATTTGTTAGTCCCTTTATTCCTATTGACTAGGAAAACTACATGCTTAAAGGCAACCATATAAGATATCTCCATTGTAGGGTATCAGAGAATAGCACTTTCAAAGATTCGTTTTGAGGGGAGGGGACTTATCTGGTCAAATGAATTAAGGGGATTAACAAACTTTTTAATCTAAAAAGGAAGTTACCTGTCTGTATAATGGGTTTAACAAAAAAACTAATACTGTTAGCCCTGGCTGATGTGGCTCTATTTAGTGTTGTCCCATGCACCAAATAATCACCAGATTCCCATTCAGCACATAGAGATTTCCACTTAAATCCTTGGTTAGGGTACGTGTGGGAGGCAACCAATCAGTCTCTCTCAAAATCAATAAAAAAATATTTTTTAAAAAACTAACACTGCTATTCAAATAACAATTTGTTGATAGGCTTTAAAAATTTCTTTTAGCAAGTTACATTAGTATCCTGTGAACCCTGTCACAACTGGAAACTAGTTAAGGGGGTTCTTTGCACATAAGAAACTCAGCTTTAAAAAACAAGTGTGGACTGATAGTGATTGTACAGAATCCCTCCTTTTCTGATGGTTAATGGAACAAAATTATTTGAAATAAAGAGCCAACATCTGATTCCAAAAAAGAAGATGGAAAATAATGGACAGGCAACATGACAGCTTAATTTCTGGAGTAGACCTTTGAAGTAGGACTTCGAATGAGTTGTACTTTTTCCTAGGACACACTTGACTAGCCAAAACAAATTTTGGTTGTTTCAAGCTCCCAGAAAATAAGCATAAATGACCAACCAAAGAAAGCTTTATATATTTGTCTCTAAGCAAGTGGTTTGCTTCCAGAGAACCTTTCCTCACCCCCAAATAACGCAGGGATTCTAAACTACTTTCTGTGCCACGGGCCTTTGGACAGCCCCATAAACCTATTGGTATTCAATCCCTTGTCAACGTTTGGAGGTGTATTTTTTAGTTGCATACACAAGTCAATTCTACCTATGGACTCCTAGTTAGGAACCACTAGACAAGTGTTCAAGTTTCGAAAGAAGATTGAGTAACAAGGCCTGTGACGAATGCGTATGTTGTGTTGTTCTGGCTTCCAGCTACCTGCTCACTTCCAAGTGCGGCGAGAAGCCAGCACCGAGGCATCTCACTCCAGCAAGAAGCACTGAGAGAACTGAAGCCCTCTTCCCACCGTCTGACCAACCAAGGAGGGGCGTTTTACACTTTTACATAGGCCCTTTTATTGTCTACGATAAGTCAAAACTATGGACACAACCAGGATCCCACCAGCCATTTGATACTTAGAGAAAGCTCCTCGTCGCGACCTCCCTCGCGTCCTCGGGGCGGTGGCATTTTGCCCCCGTGGACTCGGCCCAGCCGCCGCAACGTCGGCCGCGGGGGCTGCGCGGCTGGGCCGCCAAGGGCGTCACCCGGCCGCTTCCTGCGTCACAAGGGGAGCCGCCCGCCCTCCGGCGGGGTGGGGCCGGCGCGCCCGTTCCGCCGCGGCCCACGCCAGAGAGCGGCCACCTCGCCGGCGGCCCGGAGAGCCGCGGGTGAGCGGAGGGCAAAGACGGCCCCGGGAGGGATGCGCCGCGGGAGCTGCCGACCTGGCCGTTTGGGCGCCGGAGGAGCCCCGAAAGAAACGCACTTCCTCCGCGGCGGGGCGCCGGGGCGGCGAGGGGACGCTCGGTCCGCCCACTTCCACCCCGGGCTTCTCGAGGGCCCGGGGCGTTAGCTTTTTGTTGTTTATGTTTAGGGCCTGACTCATTTCATCTCACCGGCTCCTCGTTTTCTCCCCAAATAGCAGAGTGCCACTCCCAACTGCCTCCGGCCGCGAGGCGCTCCGCTCCTACTCGGAGCCTGGCGTGGCCGCCATCTTCCGGAAACGCCGGCAACGCCCGGAAGTCCATTGTCCCGCAGGGCGGGAGGAGGAAATGACTGCGCAGGGCCGGGGATACTCTCCTAGGGGCCTACCTTGGCACCGGCCTGTATTTGAATTCTAACTCCCCAGCCTCTCAACAGCTGTGTCCAAATTGAAAACGTTAATCTCTCTTGAGCCTCTTTGTTAAT